TAAATATTTAAAAAACACCGATTTTTGTATGTCACGTGGTATGTTGAATGCAGCACTGGTTCAAGTTAGATACTTGTGAAGACAAAATACTAAGTCTATAGTTTTGTATGAATTAAAAACTCAAATTACCAATATTGACAAGCTAAAATATAAAATAAGAATCTCTCATCTTTTCTTTTTGCTAAGATATCACTCGTGTACTGAATCAAACACAGTGGCACCCTGCCGACCTTTTTTCCATTTTTGGAAATGTTCCTTTGTATACACTTACTTCTATATATGATATGAATAACCAATTGAAAGCTCAGAATGTCCCCTAGTGGCTTTCTCTGCCATTTTAATAAACTTAATTTAAAAGTTATAGGATGAAAACTATAGCAAGCACAAAATGGTTATTAGGTCAGTCCCAGGGACCGAGCCCATGCAGAAAGAGCTAAGGTTTTAGACTTTGGTAGCTAAATTTTTTAAAGGAGGTGGACTTTTGCATGTCCACAAAAATTTGATGAGCATGCTTGCTTGCACCTTATTATAGTATATTTTGTTATATTTTGCTACAAGTTTTTTTCTTCTTTAAATTTGATTCGGATCTCTGGCCCTATGAGTGAATAATGATAATAAATGATTTTGAACAATAAAAACACAGTTTGTGGACTAATCTGTAAAATCAAGGTGTTTATTAGTTGACATTAATTATGTAAAGTCATGCCATAGTGAAATAGAAACTGTTTTTATATTTTACAAGTTTGTTATGTTGTTCTGTATATTATTTCTTATCATGATATTGACATTTCATTTCATGCTGCTAATAATATTTTATTATTCTTTAGTGCAGTTGAGAAAAAGACAACTTCTGAAGGTTATGAGAAAAGCCAAGTAAAGCATGGTGACAGAGTTTTCTATAAGTTCATGAATAGAATAGCCAGATGTCCAGAACAGATCATTCGGTAACTTTTATATATATATAGATGATCACATTTTTAAGAATTGGTTGTTTTGTTTAGAAATTACTAGAAAAAACTTATTTACTGGCAAAAGTATGTAAATAACTAATGGGGAATCAATTGAAAAAATTAAATACTCGTGTATTTAATGTATTTGTATCAGGAAGTGTAGAATTTATATGGGTAAGATGTGATATGCATATTGTAATAGTTAAAGATAGAAATAGTGAGATATATAATTAAATAGAATTTAAGTATTTTTATAGTATAAACCATAAACTCCTTTACATTAAAATGGTTAGTAATAAAAAAATATGATCCCTTCTGAGCTAGGGATGTGCCAAAAAAGAAAAATGATCAAGTACCAAATATTGATTTTCCAATTGTTAATAATTGGCCTGTTAATTTGTTTTATTTTTACTATTACTTCCTATTCCTTTTATTGACATAAGAAAACAAATATGGTGTTTATATTTTACAAAACTTCGTTGTGGTGATTTGTGTAGTATTTATTATCTCTATATTAATTTTGTATTTCACACAATAATATTTTGTTATTCTTTACTGTATTTGAAAAAAAAAAGGGCATATTCTAAAAATTTTGATAAAATTATAATTAGATTTAATATGTATAATAGTTACTAAAATAGCAATGTTAGTGTTCAGTCTGTCATTATCATAGAAATGAGTTTCATTGAATAGAAATAGTCTTTAAAGTGATTTCCCTTTCTTGCCTTTCTCAGATCTGAAGTCATTTAGGGGTCAACTTCAAAATCTGAAAAATTATGAACAGTTGCATAAGAGTGAATTGCTATCAAGACACCGGTAGTGTATCATGTGGCCAGGACACACTGTGATATCAGGAGTGATAGTTTAATGATTTTCCACCTTCTGTATCTTGGACTGTGGTAATCCAAACTATCACATATTTTCAGTAGGTGTGCTATACTGGTCTCTTACTTCACCTACTAAATTTCAAGGCAGTCCATTAAAATATACTTGAGATATTACATCTCCAATTTTGATTGACTTTACTCTCCCCCCCTTTTTTTTTTCACACTGAAAGTGTGGAAACTTTATTTGATAGCAAAACATACTTTTGTATGTTTTTTTCAAATTTGGTACACTAATAGATCTTTACCACCTACAATTAGGAGTTGCATTTGCTGTAAATATAAGCTACATGTGCAAAGTTATTTAACAAAAACCTCTCAAATTTGGCAAAATAATTTGCACATGCCTACACAAAAAGTCACATGAACTATCAGTCTAACATTTTTACTACAGCTTCACTTAAAGAGTAAAAGCGATCGTTTTTAGTTTTTTGTCATTCAGATTAAAGATGGCTGATTGAAAGCAGCAAAGCTATAAGGTGAAATGACATGCAGATACATAAGTATTGGTTAGGCCAAGCAAACTAGATTAACTGTTTGTAGCTCAAGTTTTCAAAAGAATGATATGGGTGGATGGTTATTAGTGATTATTCATTACCAACTTTTCAGCACAAATTTACTAAATTTTATGAAATTATCCTAATTAAAGAGCATTTAGCGTCACGTGATATTAGCTTAAGCAATTAGCGTAAATAATGATGCTTCATACGGCTGTACCGATTGCATGGAGGTGATGACAAAACCTGTTAATCTTAATTCCATGGCGTTAGTATAAAGGAAGGTTCTGTAAAATATAGGTCTGTTCCCAATAATAGGGTTGCGATCCTAAAGCTAATGTTAGTTACTATCACGTGTCACTTTCTTACTTGCTGTGTTTTGTTGGTGTGTATTGACAAAAAAGTCATGATATCTAATAAAAACTACCTTAGTGTGAAATAAGGTGTGGCCAAAAAGAATGAGTGTGCGACTTAAAAGGAATAGAAACCAA